CAGACTGTCTGAACAGAGGACGCGGTATCATAAAGACACTTGTAAACGCCCAGCTGTGATCCATATTTTGGTATTAATGTTAAGTCTTGGGAGAAGAATGTTGATACTGATGTTACACCTTGTGATAAGATACATTATGCACAATTTTGGGGAAGAGCCTTGGGACATGCTGCAAATGGTAATTGGAAACCCCTGCAATATAAAGAAACCTTATGAAAATGCTGCTTCTCAGTTAACACCTGTAAACAGGCTGAAACTCTCCACAGCCGAGAAACCATAACCAACCTGGTTTCCTGTGTTCGGGGGAAACTCAGGCAGACCACCTCATCACCTTGATGGCCCGATGCCAAAGGAACTCTACAACAAACTGCCTCCGAGTTAGTCACTGGCTAACCGTCTTGCAGTAAACTAAGGGGGGAGGTGTGTCACTCTACATGCCAGGGGAGTGCCCTGTGACCCTCATATTCTTCATTTCTATATGATTGTGATATTGCATACAAAGCATGCTTTGTAAGGTATTATGTGAAAGGTTGCGATCTGCTGCAACCCACTGTTCAATATATATATATAAAATTAATGAATGCATATGAAGATATGAGAATTGTGTTATATGGTTGTCACTAAAACTTGCGGTGGGGTTGGGAAGCGCCCAGATACTACCTCTCCAGAGACTACGACAAGAGAAGAGGTAACCAACGCCCGGGTGGGTGCTGAACAGATATCACCAGTCATTGTCCAGCAGAAGAGTTACAATTCAATGACTCACTCACAGGAGACACATTGGGGTATTGCTTCACCTTGTGACTCAGCAACACCCACCAGACACGCCTGGACTTTAGTTCTGCAAGCACAGGGACTAAGGGTATCAAACAGAACAGTGGCCCTATACTTGGCCTTTGTCCTTCCCCGACCTACACTGCAAGCAAGAAGGACACTCAGAAGCCTGAAGACTCCAACAGAGGGGACTGGCCCAGGTTGCAAGGGTGAAATCTGTGTACTATGAACTGCAATATCCAGTGGGGTGACAAAAACTGCTTAATCTAGATGTTATCCAGTCTAATAGGGTTGAGAGTTTAGACTGCGCGCTTATTCTTTTATTTTCCTTTGGTAAGTAACTGACTTTTTGCCTATCACTTATAATCACTTAAAATCTCTCTTTTGTAGTCAATAAACTTCTTTTACTGTTTATCTTTACCAGCGAGTTTGCCTGAAGTGTTTGGTAAATCTGCTCAGGTTTACAAAGGCTGGTGTAGATCCACTTTCCATTGGTGACGTGGGGAACCAATGAATACGTTTGCACGGCTCAAGATGAACCGTGCCAGACGGTCTATTCCTGAGGTACAAGGCTGGGAGCTGGGGGGGATTTGGTTCTGGTGCCTGTCTCTGTGTGATTCATGCGTGGCTCTGGGAACATTCATGCAATCCAGCTGGGTGTATGGGGCTCCACATGCGGTTGTGCTGAGTGATCACAGCGCCTGCAGGGGTTTGCTGCTGGTCACTAGCAAAGCATTGTGAGAGACAGCCCCGGCTGGAGACAGTTAAGGGGGCACAGCCCCAGACTGCACCCCGGGGATCCCGTCCCAGTGGCGTAGTCGGCAGGGTGAAATACACACAGCTTGTTGTACTGAGCAAGATTTGCGCTTCATACACTGCTGTGAAGATTTTAAGTGTGGCGGCTAAGGAGCGTCAGGAGGAGGCTACCGGTTTGTTATTTTCTGTTTGCTTATTTCGGGAAAGGGGAGTAGGGACAGAAAAGCAGGAAAATGCCTGAAAACAGTGAAGCCATTGCCAAGTTGGAGTTTTTAGAGTGCAGGTTGCAGAAAAAGCGAGAGAGCACCAGAGACGTTTGGAAATGAAGGACCTAGAGATAAAGGAGAAGGAAAGAGAGCAGGAAGAAAGGGAAACAGAAAGAGAGCGGGAGGAAAGAGAGTGAAAACACCAACTGCACTTGCTAGAGAAGCAGGACCAGAACCCACCGAGCCCTGCAGTTCCCATCACGCCAAAAATCCACAATTGGGAACATTTATGTCTTGCATACAATGAGGCAGATGATATCGCTGACGATCTGATCACCTTTGAAAGGCTGTGCAGTGCATGAAATCCCTGATGCCAAGAAAGTCCCTACCCTGAATTGAAAATTAACTGGTAAAGCTCTTAATGTATTCATTGAAATGCCCGTAGAGGATGCTTTAGACTATTGTAAATTCAAAGGCTTCCGATTACCCCTGAAATGTACAGAGTTAAATGTAGGAATATTAAAAGGGATATTGGTAGGAGTAATGGGGAACGTGGGAACAAAATGGAAGATTTGATGGGAAAGTGGGTGAGAGCCTCCAAGCTTGTAACACAACTTTGCGATTGTTTGATCTTGTTGCCCAAGAGCATTTCCTAGGCAGAGGTAAGGCGGATGTGAAGCAGTGTCTTTGGGACAAAGCCGTGAAGTCTGTGGATGAGACGGCGTCCCCAGCTGATGCCTTTGAACAGACCAGGCATCTATTGAAAGCAAAGCACCAAAATAGGGGTTTAAACGAGGATCCCATTTTATCTCTAGCAAGACAGAGGGTGGCTGGGAGGCTGGGTACTCACCTCCCCCAAACCAGTCCTCATCCCAATCTCCTGTCAAAACAGAAGAGTCCAAAAGGTGCTATCAGTGTAATCCCACCGATCACCTGACGAATAAATGCCCTGTGCTAGGAGGAAGCCGGCAACCAAGAGCTCATGTTAGTTCTGCTGTCCTCAACGCAGAACCCACCCCCTCCCCCATGGCAATCGAAACCTGTCATATTGGTTCTGTGAGATTAGCCACTTCAGAACCAGATCTGGAGCATGTTAAGGCTGTCGAATTAATGGCAGGTTATACTTAGGGCAGAAGAATACAGGGGCCCAGATCTCTCTGGTTAAGCAGAGTGTGGTACCAAAAGTTGTATATTAGCTGGCCAAATGGCAGAGACTGTGGGGGTGACTGAAACCAGATTCCTCCTACCACTAGCTAATATCCATGTGAGGTAGGAACATTTGGAAAGTGTTTTGACCGTGGAGGTAATAGAACACCTCCTACTTGACCTGCTTCTTGGTAATGACTTTTTCCATATAGCTCTGGTTAAGGTATTTTCCCGCAGCAAGAAGGAGTTTTATGCTGGGACCCCCAAGGGAAAGGGTAAGGTCTCAGGAACTGCTGAGAGAATGGGAGAGAGTCTCCTTGATTCTTCAGCAGCAGGGGAAAGCCACATGCTTCCACGTGTGGGGTGCTTGAGACCAACTCCTGCAGTGCAGCTGGAGGCAACACCACCGCACGAAGGGATAGGGTGTAGTGCCTGCCAGGGAGAGAAAGGGGTGATGGAGGGTGCCCCTATCCAGGTCCCAGTTTTTCAGGATGCTATTTCTGATAAATTTTTGAAATGTAACAGTGTCTCTTTAAACCAAGATGCAGCTCCAAGTGCTATGATAGCAGAGGACTTGAGACCAGAAAATTGCCAGGTGGTGGTTTGTAAGAATGCAAATGACCCGAATGACATAGAGGGAGGGTGTCTTCCCGGAGGCTGATGAGACACAGAAATCAGCTGTGGAAAAACTGCTGGGAAAAGTTACATCTGATCAAAGGGAAAATACACGTAGCCCAGAGAGCACCGATCACAGCCCTCTAGGAAAGGGGGCAGGGCAGGACTCAGTTCCGGGAGGTGGAAACAGAGGGTAACCCCAAAAAGGAAGCGGGATTTTTTGCATATGTACAGTTCTGGAGTTGGGAGACAACTCCCAAAAGGGCCAGCCAAGTTTTTGGAATGTAACTGTGTCTCTTGAAACCAAGATGCAGCTCCAATGTGACAGAAGAGGACTTGAGACCAGAAAATTGCCAGGTGGTGGTTTGTGAGAATGCAAATGACCCAACTGAGGGGGAGGGCTGGTGAGACACAGATATCAGCTGTGGAAAAACTTCTGGGAAAAGGTACATCTGATCAAAGGGTAAATGCACACAACGCAGAGATCACTGATCCCAGCCCTCTAGGACAGTGGTTCTCAAACTTCGGTACTAGTGACCCCTTTCACATAGCAAGCCAGTTTTTTATATATTTAACACTCTTATAAATCCTGGAGGCAAAGCGGGATTTGAGGTGGAGGCTGACAGGTCGCGACCCCCCATGAAATAAACTTGTGACCTTCTCAGGGGTCCCAACCCCCATTTGAGAATCCCTGCTCTAGGAAAAGGAGGTAGGGAAGGACTCAGTACTGGGAGGGGGAAACACAGGGTAATCCCAAAAAAGGAGCTGGATTTTTTGCATACGTACAGTCTTGGAGTTAGGAGACAGCCCCCCAAAGGGCCAGTCAATACACTGGACCCCCGGGACCCCTCTCTTGCCAGATCCTGATGTACCAAAATCCCAGAAACATGATTATATTAGGAGCCCACAGACGGGAACACTGGAAGGAAAAAGAACCAATAATATCATTAAGTGTTTCACAAATGCCATAAAACATCACGATGATGATGATGATGAAGGCTGCAGTTCTGTCACAGAGGTCGCGGAAGTCACAGATTCTCTGACTTTCCGTGACCTCCATGACTTTCTCAGCTCGGGACAGCGGCTCAGGCGGTCCCGAGGCAGCTGGCCCCGGGAAGCGCCCGAGCAGCGGTCCCAGGGCAGCTTCGCCCTAGGGAGTGCCCAAGCAGCCGTCCCCAGGGCCTCAGAGCAGGGGTGGCTGGGGGTGGGGAGGGGCAGTCCCTGCTGCCAGGGCAGGGGCTAACCGTCAGCCCCGGACCCCCACAGCAGTGATGTTCTGGGGCCCCCTAGTCGGGGTTATTTATATAGTAAAAGTCATGGACAGGTCACGGGCTGTAAATTTTTATGTATTGCCCCTGACCTGTCCATCACTTTTACTAAAAATACCCGTGACGAAATCTTAGCCTTAATGATGATATTAATAGCGGGAGGCGGGGTGGGGTGGGCGTGCTAAGAAAACAGTGCCCTGTCTCACGCTGCCCAGCCAGAGGAGGAGGAGTTTGGCAGGGAGCAGAGAGCAGCTCCCTTTAAATATGCCAGCAGAGGTGAGCACAGCTGGGATCTGCAGAAGGAGCCGGCGGCAGGCCCAGCTGATGCGCTCCTTGAGCTGCTGAGGGGAAGGACTCTGGACATTTGCAAGGTCGGAGACGTCTCCTCGGGGTTGTTCACATTTTTGCTTCTCCCTCTGGCTTGGGGAGCCGCCGGGAAGGGACCCGCAAGGGTGGGGGGGGGACGCAGAGCACTCCAGGGGCAGGTCTCAGCTGCCAGCCTTGGGGCCCTGCTGGAGCCCGGGACAGAGGTTGGGCCAGGGGTCCCCAGTCAGGGCTGGAGGCACACGGCCTGTCCCTGACACTAGTGACTCAAGACTAAGCAGACCCACATCCCAGAGACTCCCGACTCGGGGGCTTTGGACGGGTGATACCTGGACCCCTTTGCCGGACAGCGGAACTAGCATTTGTTGGACTCATTACTGCACACAGCTGTGACCCAG